ACCTATGTAGAAATTTTATTGTGTACTATTTAGATTAAATGAGATATTCCATAATATGAAATAATAACAAAAAAAGAATAACAACAGCATAATATGCTCTTGTTATTTTTCTCAGCACATGGTTTTTGTTCACATAATATTATATATGTATAACACTATTACATTCCCTCGACGTTTTTCCATATATGTATACAGCCCATAACGTGTGACCTAAAAGAGGTAAATATGTACTCTACACATTTATATATACACGAGGGAAATAGGTTGCGAATAATAATAATAATAAAAACTATAAACAAACTAACGACTAGATACGTGTACAAAAGGTCCAGCAAGTGAGTTCAAAAGAAAACAATTCGTCTTTTTAAATTTTAAACACGCAAGAATACTCAGAGAGAATGTTTGAGGTAATACCAGCAGTTTATTGTTTTTCATAAACTTTTTGGCCAAGAACAGATGTGACAGAAGTAGTATACACGAAATAATTTTGAAAAATTAACAAAGTAAAAATAATCTTTATTTGCGGTTTTATCATTGTTTATTGATATTATTCTGAAAAAAGAAAATATGTATGTATTATATTAAAATATGCGTATATCGTAAATATACGGGTAATGATGCGCATTAATATACAAAGACTTCAGTAAGTAAGGAAACAGGTCAGGTGTTACAAATAATGAGAACAATAGAAACCCGTTTCGTTACTTACTGAACATTCAATATATATTTTAATTATCACACATCGTTTCAAATAGATTTGTTTAGTGAGCTAAGACATTTTAGAAGTTTTAAGGGGACAGAATATTTAAGTTGCCTTGATCAGTCATCCTTTTTTATTTTAGCAGCTAAAGACTCTATAATCGATGTGGACGACACCTATGCATTAATCCTATAAATGTTACTATTATAATCATTTCTTCATTTTTCCTCGTCATAATCCCAATTACTTGGGGTCGGTCAAGTTTTGTTCAGGACTTCTCATACTTTTTGACAAAAATTTTACGCCGGCTGTTGACCTGAAACAACCTCATTAGTCGCCTTTTATGACTGGCAAAGGGGCCGTGGAAGTATTCTTATACCCTATCCACAAGGACATTACTATTATAATCATTTCAAATTTTTATTATAAGCAAATGTGAAATTATATTTATAGATATAAAAATGATCGTTTAATAAAAGCTTAATAAAAATCGTACAACTATAAAATTTTCAATATTTTTTATTATACATGAGTTCAAACATACGTTTATAAGAATTTAAGAAAATTATCTATAAATAAATAAAGTACCATAAATTTTAATTAAAAAGTTTTTTACTTACAGATTTTTTTTATTTATCAAGGAAGACTGCTAATTTAAGAAATATTTGAGTCTGCATCAATCCCCTGCGAGTCCCCTATACAAATATAAAGAAGATACATGCTTTTGAATTTTATCAAATAAATTAGTTTTCAAATAATAATAGAATTAACAGATAGGTTTAAAAAAAATTCAGTTTTTCCTAATACAAATAATTTAATTATTTGCTGGGCACAGTTTTTGAGCTTGACTAAGTTAAAAACTAAAAACATTTTAAACTAAGATTTTGAGCTATGAAAACGGTAAATAATATTATTCTCAACAAAAATTTTAACTTAATATAAAAATTTTCTCTGAACTGAAAAAATATTTTTGGTTTTCGTTGGTCTTATTTTAAAAATATAATTCTTATTAAATGGAAATTTTAATTATTAGCTAGGAATTTTTCATTAGAAATTTTATTTTACAATTCCAAAATAAAATACAACCTGCACATATCAGTCAACTCTCGAACTGAATTTTTTTTTACTGTTAAGAAAAATACAGTTAAATAAAATAATAATAATGTTAAAAAATATTGTATTTGATTTTTAATTCTATTAAAATCTTTAAGATAATACATAAACAATAAAATAAATTGCCATAGAATATTTAGAAGAAAAACTTTTACATTATAAAAATTTATAATTTATGAAATCAATAAACGTATTCTATAATTATAATTTAAATAGATAATAAATTTTCATTAGTGAAAATCATAGGATTTATAGAAAAAATCTCATGAGTATGTGTGAAGAACATATTTCATTACGCATTTATTAAAATATCTATCCAAAGATATCTCAAAGTTTCAAAGGAAAAGTTTTTCAATTTACTTATTTTTGAAGTATTAATATTCCAACTAAAATATAAAAAGGTTTTAATTAATTATTTGCAGTTCGTTTGATTTAATGCAAAATAAGCCTTTAAATAGATATTTAAACAAAAATAATTAAAATTATGCGAATTTATGTTAATTTTTTATTTGAGATAAATTCGCAGCTAATTATGTTTTTAATATACCTAGTTATGCGATGGAATTAAATTAAAATGCAAATAAAGGAAAGGATATAATAGTTTTAATAAAATGAGACATTTACTCGGAAAAATATAAATAACAATGAAATAAATTTCCGTTTCAGTTAAAATAAAAGCAAACAACATTAAAATTATAATATTATCAGATAGGTTAATTTTTTTTATAAATAAAACCTTTTTAAAAAGTTGAATTCTATCTCAGTAGCAATTGACAACTAACAGTATGTGTATCAATATATGTTTAGCGATAATAATAATATAATAATAATATTTTTCATTAAACTTAATACTGATTTTGGAAATAGATTTTAAAAATTTTATTCAAATAGAACTATATTCATTATATAACATAATGTTAGGTTTTAAGTATAAGTCATTGTCGAATTTACAAACAAGATAACTACATTTATAACAAAAAACTTTCCTGAAATGTCTAATAATACACTAAATTACTTAAGTTAAACTTTTTAAAGATAATAATTTAATGAATCCAAAAATAAAAATCTAATTAAGTTTTGTATAGTAATATTGAGTAATAGAGACGGTAAACGATTTAATAAGGAGTATCTAAAGTCCTAGTAGTATCAAGTGAAATAATTTCACACTTTATAAGATAATCCTACTTGAATATTATATGAATAGAATACTTAAAATAATGTAACGACTAATAAAATTTTTTCGCATATTTTATTTAAATTATGAATTGATAAAATAATTTTAAAAAATAGTTCAATATTTTAGCTTCGATGCGAAGCTGAGAAGGTATTGGTTTTACTATGATGTGTTTTTTTTTTTTTTTTTTTTTTTTTTTTTTTTTTTTTTTTCA